ATGCCAATCACTGTTATCATCCCACTGAAGCTTAGGAGGCAAGGGAAACTGATGGGGAGGAGTGTTGAGGCTCATGGCATCTTTTATGCTATGATAAATAAAGTCCTTTTTCTCTGACCTAAGAGCTTTAGGTCTTCGAAACTGTGGCCAACCTGTTAGCTTACAAGTAGAGTGAAATCACATTTTTTCAAGTTTCTTGACAGTATGAAATTACTTACTTTTCCCGTTCTGATATTCAGAGAATTTTTCAAAATGCCATTATTTAGCAAGGTTCTTAATGGAGAAGTATTTATCATGTAATCATCATTTGGAGACAGTATTTTAATTGTCTCATCATTGTCACAGAATTTGATCAGGAGTATGAGTATAAAAAAGTGCTCCTTCTATGAAATGAAAACACAATTTATCCAAAAGCTATCAAAAAAGACTCTTTTACTAATGACTCAACATCAGTTTGATATCCACCCCATATTCTCGAATGGAAAAGACTTTTTTCTTTTTCAGACTTCAATTTTCTAGAGAGGGAGCTGAGATGCTAAAGAAAATATTAGACAACTGAGTCTGAGCCCATTTTTTAGCTCTGGCAAACTTAAGTATTTTACAGTACCTCAGCAGTAGTGAGAAAGATCTTATCTGTGATGTTCCTCAGTCCACATGCCACAACCCCAAGAGCAACTCCAGGGAACACATAGGAATTGTTCCCTTGGCCAGGATATAGGGTCTGTCCATTTGGAAGAGTAACTGGATCAAAAGGACTGCCACTGGCAAAAACTGCACGTCCCTGCAACACAAAACACACATCACTAAATTTAAAAGGAAGTAGGTTATTTTAAACCAAATGTTTTATAATAGAACTATCCCATAGCCAAAATAATGAGTACTTAGAAAGACACTTAACTTTTCATTAGCTTCCCAGAAAATCTAGGCAAGCTCTTGGTTAACAGGTTCTGGAATGAGTAATTATTACTGTTCTTTATCTTATACTTTGTTCCTGGGAAAAGTGTGTGAAACACACACTACCCTAACACTATCACTGGGTTCTCTGCAGTGGTCCAACCTATAGACCCATCAACCATTTCTATACAGGTTTTCATTTAATGGCTTCTAAAGATAAAAAAAAATACAGGTTTACATTAGACTACTGGAAATCTCATTAACTTAGACAACGGCTTAATTGTCTGCCTCAAAATCACTTTCAATATTTTATGTCTAACAATATGGGAACATTATATTATGATCATAAAATGAGTTGAGGCCAGGTGTTTTATTATAATTATATATATATATATTGCACACGAGTCTCTAAATTCTTGAGACCTATTTACTATGACAAAAATGTGCTTCCTATGAACAAAGTTCTATGCCAAAATTTTGTTATCACTCAAAAAGTTAGATGATTTTACTCCTTTAAAGATTTAAGGGCTTCTGAAGGATGTGAGAAATAATTTCAATTTATAGATGAGATAAAAATTTAAACAGTGAAATATTGAAGTTATCCTAAATAAAGGGAGTAAACAACAGAGTTCTTCCCCAAAACTTAACTCTAGTAATGAGCATTTAAGAATATAGTATTAAAGAAGTAGAGCCATCACATTCTAACTTGTGCAGAGTGACATAACTTTGTGTTTGTTTATCCTTCTGGTTGATTTTGACTTTATTTGCAAAATGAAAGTTTTAGATGGATATGACTCAACCCCTATTTTGTTTTAACAACATTTTTGTGTCTTTGCAAGGAACAAAAGTCTCTTGCCAACCTATCACTCAAATATGTTAGTATAAGCATTCTACTGCTTTTTAAAACAGTAGAGTATTGAACACTTAAGGACTCCTATCCTAACCTGGCTGGATATCAAGATAGCCATCCAAATGCCCCACCCATGGCATCAAAGTCCAAACCCACAATTTAGCAAAGCAAAAATTAGTCTGTGGTTTTGTAGTATATGCTTCAGTATTTGGGAACAGCTAGTTAAAAGCTATTTTAATAACTATCAAAAAACAAGCTTTTTCTTTTTATTTAACTTTTATATTTAAATCTTAGATACTTCTAAATCACTAGAGGAAAATTATCATTGAAACTTAACAAAATTTATTCCATTTTATTTAAGAAGAGAAGTGATACAATAATACTTAAGAAAAGGGGAATAGTTCTCATCCCTCTTATCTGTTCACTTTTTTTCCATCTTGGCTGTATAATTTTTAAAGGCTATATGGTAAGCACCTTAGATATCCCAGGCTTCCTTATAATTAATCAAAATTTGATGATTAAAATACAAGTTTTACTTTACCTGAGTTATTTTATAGCATTGCTCTGCAGAACATTCTGCTTTACTGGTTGGATTACTCAAAGCAAAAATAATAGGTCGTTCATTGAAGGCAGCCATATCTTTCAGAATTTGCTCTGTGAATGCACCACCAATTGCAGCAACTCCTAATAAGGACATGAGAAATGAGTGATTAGGACTGTCACTGATTAACACATCCAAGAAACCCATGTCCTAAAACAAAGAAATACGTCAGGTCATTTTCTAGTAGACACTAAACACAATAAAGAATATTTGTGTTAAAGTATAGTGATACAAAGAACTGTTTATTAATGCCATCAATCTTTAGGGTTATAAATCAACAAGTACTTTTAAAAATTGCAGATATAATATTTAACTGATAATATACTGGATTGGTGGATTGGAATGTTGATTACAGGTATTTATATCAGAAACTAAATTGTGGGCCGGTGATCTAGCTCAGTGGTTTCGCCACCTGCTGCGCAAGCACAAGGACTGGAGTTCAATCCCCGGTACCATGTACAATATATATGCTCTTTATAAGCAATTCAATGAGTGTATTTTATTCTATCAGGCTATAAAGGAATTATGTTTCATAAACCAATGTTAACATCTAAGACAATCAATCATCTTATTCAACTGCAAAATTGGAATATCACTCATAAAAATATTTTTAACAGAAGAATAAAGTAATTAGCACAATGAAAATGGAAAGCCATAAGACTATTGAAAAAACACATTTTGTAAAAGAAGGCTAAAAGCTTAGTAAAGTTCCTGTCATGGAGTAAGCAGTTTTTATTA